CACAGTTTAGACAAAACAATCATTTTCCAGCCCAAGAACCATGGGGACACCATTGCAGCTTCAGGCCCCAAAAGTATAAACAACAATGAATTGAGGAGAGCAATATGAGAGGACAGGACTTCATAACCTGAAGCTGTAATTGAACAATTAACCCCAAAATGTAAGTAGACCAAAACATAGAAAAGAGTGAAAAAGTGTGACCTGTCATCCATCTTGTGTCTCTCTTGGGTCCAGCTTGGGCAGAGCCACATCCAGGTGCTTGTACTGCCCAAGGTGAATCCTTTGAAGGCCTTTTAATAAATCCCTACTTTATTTCTTTAACACTGTCTAGCCTCTGCTCCAGGTAGCCTCTGAAGGCATCAGAAGCAATTCTGACACCCCTACCCTGCTCAGTGGATCTGGAAGGTTTCCTACAGGAAACAGCAAGAAGGCGGGGGGAAGAGCAGCACAACACTTTGCTCTCAAGCATCTGTGCTACATTCACTGATTTCAATGGGAAGTCTCACAGAATGCTCTCCTGAGAGCAGTATATTATGTGAAAAATATTTAGGTTTAAGGAAAAAAAAAGATGAAAATAAATCAGAAGGAGATATTGTAACAATAACTTTGCTTCTACTAAGCATCAGAATTAGGAGCAACAAATAATAATAACAAATAAAAAAACTGGATGGATAGTAAATTGATGTAGCAAAACCTATACTTCCATTACCTCAACTGTAACCATCCTTCAGAACTACAGAGTTTCAATAGTTTTAAGTTGCTGAAGATCAAGAATGCAAAATAATAAAAACTTGCACCATTTAGAGAATGCATCGATAATAACACAAGTGGTTTATAATTTGAAATGATCTATTTCTTCCTTTAAATATCAATTAGTTTGCTCAGTCGAGTGGAAATTTAACTGTATCCATCAAAACATTAAAAACCATAAATAAAAAATTAGCAGTTAATTGTGTTGCCTATTTTTAAGACATTGGAGCTTAGTTTTTCACATTCTGGCAGTCTATCAAACTCAGCTCCATTACAGATGTCTTAGAACTGAATTGATGATGATATTCAGAACTAAGGGCATTCTCTTCAGTAGCCCTACCCTGATGAAAGAGCTCAAATGTATAGATGGCTTATGCGACTCTATCATTCTTACTGTGTGAATTAGGAATGTTAGAAATGTCAGCTTAATGAGTCATGCAACAGTCTTCAATGTTCTAAGTCACTGGATCCAATTAATTTTCAAGTGTGCCTAAAATGAACAATGAATACTGAGAAGAAGCAGTTCAGTGGTTTTCTCCACACTCACTTTTTAACTTCTATTTTATACGATGGACCTAATAATGCTTTCAAACAGCCATACAAGTCAATTATTAACAATGATTGAAATTTCCAAGGACCTAACAGTGTTTTTTCCTTAGCCTTTACATCTGCAATGAAATTACTCCAATTTGCTTGAAAAAATGAGGAAAGGAACAATGCAGGTGTTAGTGTAAAAAATGGTAATCTTTTTCCCCTTCTTTATGCATGTTATTAGTAAAACTAGTCAGAGCGGAAACATGATAAACATACACATTTTTTAAACATCTCCATTCTATTTGCTTCACTGAACTTGAAAACTGCTTTGGTTTTGTATTATATTTGGCATAATGTAACAACATGAATTTTGTTTCCAGTGAATCCTGTTTTTATTGAGCAGTGGGGGCCAATCTCATTGGCTGGGCTCACAGCCATGAAGAGGAAGAGCCATTTGTTGTAACAGGCAGGGCTTTCTTTATTTTTACGTAATTTTTACCATAGCCCTGATGTTTGGATTTTTAAACTCCAGATTCTGATTGGTGTGTATCTTACAAACAAATATTTCTGCTTATGCACACATCACTGGTGGCTCTTCTAAGTTGTGGCTCATCTGAAGTTATTGATGTGAAGGTTCTTTTTCCCCATGCTTATTGGGGAAAATAAGCAGAATAAACAGAGTGTGGATAAACACTCTGCTTCAGTGGCCATTAAGGCATGTCACCTGCTGTGGAGGGCCTGTTCTCCACCTTGGGATGTATGTGATGCTGTTCCCTGACCCCTGCCAACATTCCTTCTTGCACCCTTTGGAGAAGGGTCCCCCGACACCTCGTCTTCCCGGTGTGTATGGATTTGTGCCAAGAGAAAACAACATGATCTGAGGGTGCAGAAGAGTACACAATTTGTCCCACCTTGCTAAAAAACAGTGGACTTTGAAAGCAGAGATGGGCATGGCAGCTTTTTCATTTTTGGCAAGCTGTGGACCACCACCCCAGGTACTCTTCATTCTCACTTGAGGAAAGGCGTCAAATAGCCAAATGGTGGCAGCACTATAAATTGCTTTAATTGTTCGCTCAGTGAGAGTGAACTCACCCAGGCACCAGAGGAAAAAAATTTAAAATGCCAAACCCTGCCCCCCGCCCCCCCCGCAAAGAAACAAGTAAGCAAACTATCAAACAACAACAACAAAAAACAAAAACAAAACAAAACAAAAACAAAACCAAAACACCAAAAAAAAACAAAGATAAAAAAAATAAAATTAAAACCCAAACCAAAAACCCCATGAGCCGCAAAAGAAAAAGGAGTTTGAGAGCCAAGTACAACATTAAAACTCCTTATCCCTAAATGCCCATGCCACAGAAACATTTTTGGGGCAAGGAGGACTGAAGCACTTAAAATCCTTAGTCTCAATGAAAGATTCAGCTTGACTGAAATGACTTTCAGCAAAAGCCACCAGTGGTTTATCAGATCTCACTGATTGGGAGTAATGCTCCTGGTGCCTACACTCTATATTAATCATCACAGAGAAGTGTCTGAGAGGGCAGCTGTAAGGCTGTCTTTAAAATCTTGTAAATACTGAGCATTTCAAGGCAAGGTTTGGGTTCAGATACATGTCCAGTAAAAAAGCCTTTCCTTCTGTTGTGGTGTAGGCAGTTCAAGACCTGCAGGTAGTATAATCTGAAAATAGAAACTGTTAGAAATATAAATATAGAGCTGGGGGAAAAAACAACCCTATATGCTGCCAGAAAGCATCAAGAAAATCCCCTGCTTTGAATACAAACTTTGCCTGGGGGATCGTGTTTTAGAAGTCAAGTGACAAAACTTCAGCTTCCCTGTAAGTTAAAGGAGGATTAAAATAAGGAATGAGTGAAAGAGAATGACACACATGTACAAATTAAAGTAAAAAAAATAAATTAAAAAACGCACGGCTTATTTATGCCACCTACTGGATTTCTCTTGAAGTATCTTTTCAAGTGTTTTAGTTGTGATGGTATCTGTCACTCCAGCAAATAGGCTTGCATGGGAGACTACTCACACAAGTAAACCAGCTGAAATCCAGATGATGATTCACATGAGTAAATGTGTGTGCAGACTGACATAGCTGGAGGAGTAGAGATGAGGGTAGCTCTACACCTGTTTATTCTGCTAAGCTGATGGCTTTGTGGTAGCCCAGACATCCAAAGCTGCAGGCAAGCACTAGAGTTCAACACTGAGGAGCTTCCCAGCTCCTATCAGTGCCTCAGGGAATGTGCTGGCATGGTTTCCCTCCTTTGCTTGACTCCCTCCAGCTGTCTTTGATATTTTGTTCAAAATGTCCAGAGTGTTTATGGACATGACAAGGTTTTCAGACAATGCAGACTGGCAGTGTGCATGCTTTATCTTCTATCCCTTACCATTCCTGCAGCTGAGGCTCTTTTGGGTATCCACAGCCAGCCCTGGGGATAGAGTCTATAAAATGATACGTCAGAATCAAAAATACCTCAAAAACTCTCTGATTTGACTCACTGACAGAAAAAAACAACCCCACAAAACAAAAATTAAACAGAATCAGGTCTAGCAGATCTCTAAAATGATATGCACTCAATTCCACTGACTTCAGTGAAACTGAAGGTCTTCACTTTCCAGACAACAGTGTTAGAATTAAACCCTTTTTAATTTGTCATCTCTCCACTGCCTTGCTGAGTCATACCAAATGTGGTGGTGGGATCATGTCTTGCTTACATCTGTTCCTCAAAATTATAATCTTGTTAGCAAATAAAATATTTTTGCCAGGTTCAAGGGCTCAGCCAAAGGCATGCAAAGGACAGATCATCACTAACAGATGACATTTTGGACTTTAAAGAAAAAGTTAAAGCTAAAGGACAACTATCAGATACCTATTAAGACAAAAGAAAAAAAGAAAAGCAAAAAACGTCTTTTTTGATTCTTCTTAATTTTGTCATCAGAAATATTAATTACAATTATTTCCAAAGGTGATGGCAAACTGCAGTAGTCCTAAGTCACTGACATCATCACTAGACAGACTTGAACCAGAGATGCCCAGACATATATTAAATGAATGACTAAATTTCTCGGAGACTTGCAGTGAGGTTACTGTGATTTGTCTTAGGACTAATGGCAGTTTACGACCATCCATTGTTTCATTACTCCACAGATGACAAATCCAGGAGTGTGCTGTTAACCTCACCACATACCCATTAAAAAAACTGGAGGAAAACATTGCACTCTAAACCATACTCAAAGTGTGACCTGAGCTAGCAAAACTAAAGCAATTAATTGTTAAATGATTGATCATGTACTTGTGTTCATCAGGCATCTAGATATTTTGGTGGAATTCATCCAGAACACAAAATACCAGATCGGTCCTAACAACATTAATATTTTGTTCTGTACAGTAGATTCTGTAACATTATGGATAATACAGATCTGTCCAATTAGCCTGAAAGGCAGTAGTAGAAAATACAAATTATGTAAAGGAATGATGAATGAATGTTCTTCTTAGACCTGTTGCATTTTTTTCATCCTATAGTTCATCTCTGAAATTGGCTGTCCCACTTAGTTTCTAGTGAAAAGGCAGATATATAAGCACCTGGTGACTCCTTTTATTTTTCCTTTGTCTGTCTTTGCCTGCTTTATGCACTGTCCTTTTCTTATTTTTTCTCCTTTTCCACCCCTGCTGTCATTTCTGATTTTCTTCTCCCACCTCTGTTGGGTTTTATTTTATTTTGCCTTTCTTGGTCTTTTGATTTAGCCTCCTTTAATCTACTTTTTAATTTGCATTTTCAATTGGCTTTAAGATAATTTGTAGGGGAGCACCTGAAAACATTCCTCTGTGTGTGCTCCACCATGCACTGAACTTCACAAACTGAATATCCAAGGCTTCCCCCTAGACAAAATTTTGGAAACTGATCAATGCCCATATGACTTGAGATCTCAACTGGTTTCAGTTCAGGGAGGAATTTTATATATTGATATAAAAAGCTAAGTATGCCTATATTGTTCATCTCCTTAAATATTTGTGATATGCACCACTACATGTAAAGGCAAATCCTAATTTTGTTCCTCTAAACGTTGTGTTAATCTTCTCCAGTCTTGTATGAAAATGTGCAGTTACTGACATCAGAAATGTCAATTCCAGGAAAGTGATGCAAGGGAAAAGTTTCAGTTTCAGTGAGCTGAACGATACCAAGCCCACACAGCTCACGTGGACCATCTGCTTGAGATTTGGGCTTAAGAGAAGTGCTTGAATGAGGTCTCTCCCTGGAGAGATGTCCAGATAAATGTTGGAGATAAATTGAGATAAATGTCTCCAACGTTGTACCATAGAGGAAAAAGTTCTTTAAATGTAATTTATTAAAATGCCCATGCAAAGCATCAAGCAGCAAGGATCCAGGACTTTCTTCAGGCTAAGATAGGCACTCACTGTTTCCAGCATGGAGGCTCAGTCTGAGCAGAATTAGCTTGGTGTTAGCTGATCACAAAGAGAGAGATGCCTTTCTTGGCTTCTTCTAGCAGAAATAAATTTCTACCTACTGTAACTTACTGCCATCTGATATGCTGAGTCATGAAGCTGGGGCTATAGAAATCTTTATGCAATCTTTATAAATCAGCCTCACATAATTTCAGGTGCTTTCTGCTTCATCTCTGTTGAGTCACTCATTTGACAGTTGTCATTCATCTTAGATTGAGATGTAATTTAATAGTTTCATTTCAGCATGAAGATAGCGTCATCTAAAGTTGAGCTCAGAAAGATTTAAAGGTGTAACAGAGGAAATATTAATACTGTAAATAATATCTGTAGAGCTGCATGTGTTTATAAATCACATAGTGCCAAGTTGGAAGGGCAGCCTATGTAAAGAAGAAAAAAGCATCTTCGCTTGTCTTCCCCTGCAGAGTACAGCAGCTCTGCCACCCACACCAGCTCCAGAGGTGATGGCTGCCGAGTTATCACCGTGCTCTCACTCGCCCTTATACCTGCTAGAATCACCTGCCCACACAGATATTGATCAAGGGGTCTTTACACACATTGCGGGATACAAGTGCAAGGTAACCCGTAAAGGAAGGATGCAGTCCAGCAAGACGCCAGCAGCCCCACGACAGAGCTGCGGCAATTCGGGTGTTTTTTTCGGGCGTCACACCACTCCTCGGGCCAGGCCATGTTGGTCGTCCGCCCAAACCTGACCTACCCAGCCCTGGGGACCACTGGGCTTAAACATGTCCTCTCTGGATCGATTCCGCCTTGCTGTCGCAGACCTCGTCCGGCACCACCATCGTGGACACGGCCTACGCTGGCCGCTGCGGGGCAGGGAGGGT